TCGGAAGCACGAAAGATCGGTCCGTCGGCCGGGGATACCGAAGGTCACTGTTTTCAAGTGTGATTTAAGAAACAAGGGGACCTTTGCGGCGTGGGAGAGAAGCGGAACGGAACGCAAACGATGCCAAAGCAATGCAGGCAAATTTTTCATTATTCCCTTGCGATTCTCTTTATCTTTTCTCAGTCACCGATCCTTTCTATCGATCGACGATCGACTCTATCCGTCACACGTTGCACCGATAATCGCGAGACGATGGACATTTTTTTCTGGAAAGAAAAAGAACCGTATTTAATCGTAGATCATTCGAAACGTGGTACTATTTTTTGAAACTACAGGGTACTCGGTTGAATAACTAATTGGACAAATTTCTGCTGTTTCTTTAATCGAAGAAACTTGAATAGATTAAAATCATGTTTTTAACCCTACAAAAATAATGGTGCTTTTTCATAATGGCTAGATCGAAGCTTCCTCTTTCGCGTAATTTTGCGAAATACGAGTGAATGTTACTTTTGTGCCGATATCGCAAGGTCGATAAACATCGCACGCATCCGGGTTTCGGCTGGTTTAAACGAAACAACAGTTACGGATGACCGAATTGAAAATAAAAAAAAAGTAATGCATGCATGCAAGTGAATCAGTGTCAGACACGCTACAACTGACGTGATGTTATTAGTACATACCGATGAGACAATGGCCCGCGTTAAATTATTCATGAGGTCATTGTTGCATCGTAACGCAGATTCAAACGTCGAGCAGTTTGCGATGTGATGAAACCGTTGCAGTTTGACTCTCTGATATTCGATCGAAATTGCCACCAGTTTCCATGTAACTGGCTTTAATTGAATTTCTTCGGCTCGCGAAAAGCTGATCCGCGTTAATACCAGAGGCATTTCACACGACGCGGTAGCATATCGTGAGAAAAACTTGATGAAATTCAATTATATCTGGATTAACTGTTAGGACATGGTTTGCCATCTACCACCTTTCTTTCTCTTATTTTTATGCTCGCAAGATGGTCGTTCTTGGACAAATCGATTTCATCTGGTGGCGATACAAGGAAAACAGGTGCTTTTTTCGATATTAGTACGAGGGAATATTTTCGCGCGAGCGACTCTCGCTTACGTAATTACAATAAAGCGTAGGTTATCGCGGTCGTGGCGTCCTTAAATAGGCAGGTTCGCTAACCTGGATAAGGTTCCTCGACCATCCAGGAAAATACGAAAATATGCGTGCCGATCGCGGAATTGTTGCGAATGCATGCGCGCTCGTGCGATCTCGACGTAGATTGGACGGTTGTTGCAAATCGTTCCTAGTTTGGTCGTATATTTGAAAGTGCGAATTCTCACATGCGAATCAGCCGATCCCCGCAACTTCGTTATCCCAGAAGACGCGTTCTGGCAGACAGGGACAAGCAAGCAGGCAGGATTCTCGAGGTGGTAGGGGACGGTTACGTGACCTAGTTTCACTGGCTATGGTGGACCACGATGCATCTTTGTTACGATGCCCCGAAGCGCACGAACGGTACGAGCACAGCGTCGAACATACAGTCGGTTAAAGAACTCTTCGAACGATACTTTGAATATCTCGATCTAGCGTTAAATAAAGTATAGGAAAATCACAGTCACCTGAATAACTCTCGAAAAATTCTCCTTATTCTCTCGAGTACGTCGGTGTACGTTCGCGGGATAACTGTGTCGAAAAAAGTGATTTTTCTTTTACGCTCGCGTCATGTTGGTCACGTCTGTATGTCGAAAGGTTGCGTCAGCCGGGAAGAAAAATTCACGAACCGAACCGGTTGTAACGACGAGTCAATCTGTCCAACGGGGGGAAAAAAATGTCGAGATATCATGCGCGAGATGGCATCGCGTTACTGCGGAGAGACATACCGAAGATCGTTGTCTCGGGTCTGCGTCGACTGAACGCCAGCAAAAAGAGAAATTCTCTGTTAGAAAGAGGAACATGTTCGCTGGGAAAATTCTATGCATACGTTGTTATTATTTTGACTTTTCGGAATATTAAAAGAATGGGAGGTACGTTTCAGGAAAATATGATTTACCGAAAAGTTAAATGAAACATATAAAATGTATCGACGAGGCTCTGTTGTAAAGCAAACTCAATGAACGCGAGGAGAAAGTCGAACGAAAGACAAAAAACGATGTTTTTCGCGGATTACTTATTTCCATTTTGCCTCGAGCGAACGATCGAAGCGAACGTAACGTTGTCTCGATAGAGGGCATGCGGCCAATGGTACAATAGAATTACACGCGGATGCGTTTCATCTCATGCAAGACCGCGATGAGTAGACAAATTCAATTCGGTGACGGCTCTCTCTTTGTCAATTCGTCTCTGCTTTCCTACTATTTTTGCACCTCTCGCTTCGACGCTCTCTTCCTCCCAGCTGATGATGTTACACGCGAACTATGGCTGCCTGTGCACAGTCGCATCGCGACATGGTCTAACGGCATCCAGTCGACCTCGTCATCCCGTTTCAATATGGCCACGCGCATTCCTCTATATTCCTTGCTCTCGAATGCATTTTCGCTATTCGATATCTATACGATATCGCGTTCGACCAACAGTTCTCTCGCCTCTCAAACGTAACCTAAATACAAAATTAATACGTTTATCGGAGGTTGTTTTGGACGTTAAGAAATCCGATCTCGCTGTTTCCATTTCAAGCAGGAAAATGTCCTCGGCGTGGTTTTGCTATGATAGGTTATGTCACAGTGCTCGGATGAGTGATCGCTCAGCGGTAACTGTACTTTGCTGACAGCGGAGTTCGGTCGAAGGCGTATAATACGAATAAAAGAACAAAGTATCTTGCGTCATGTTCATTCAGCGTGATTTAACGGTCGAATAAATTACGTTGAGAAAAGTCAGCGTCCTCTACGGGAACATCTTAAATCGGGATAACTGAAAATAACATCGAGGATATTCCGATACAGCGAAGGATTATTTATCGAAATACGTAAGAAACGTATAGATCGTTGAGATTCGTTCCTTCATTTTGTCGAAACGCGGAAATTCAATTATTCGTTTGGTTGTAGACGCGCGACTCGTGCAAATCGTTTCTTTCCTAGTCAATGAAAAGGGAAATGTCTGCTCAGGAATTAATTTATTTTCGATCGTATATCTCGTTGCCCCGTTTCAAGATAAATCCGATCGGCGACCGTCATCGTTCTCTATTAACATAACTGGTATTAATGCCGGCGATGCCGCGTCAAGGTTTCGATTACGAAAATCGATGCGGCGATCATTCAGACCAGTTTGCTTTCCAGCTTACACGTAACTTGCTCCCGTTTTCAAGCGTGAAAGCACCGTTTTAGTTATCCCGAACTGCTCGTTGGTGACTTTTCGGTGTCCATTTCGCGACCAAGAGGTTTCCCACGAATTAAGGCGATTGTTATAGGTAACAGTTTCGAATAACGTATCAAGGATACACATTCTTTCGCGATGGCGCACCTGGCACCAAAACGCCATTCCGAATGCCACTGAACGGATTAGAATAAAATATACTTTCAAAATATTTTACATTTATTTATTACGCATTTAGAGACCAAAAAATCGTCGACTGCTGGTGTATGCCGTCTCCAGTATCAGTAAATAGGGTGAAAAATAGCGAGAGTTTACGATACGGTTATTTTCGAGGATTTCCACAACCGGTGCTTTCATCTCGGTTTTAGCCACATCCCGTCGACGTAATCCCGTCGAGGACCGAGGTATGGACGGTAGCAGAGGAATATTTAAACGATTTGTAAAAAGTGAAGCGCCGGCGTAACACGTGGACGCGTGAATGCAATATATTACGTCCGCGCAATTGCTGTTCCAGTTACGTCAAGAATGCTACTAGACGGTGTTATTCATGAATACCAACGCAAACTCATTTCGGAAACATTGACAAACAACTCGGTAAACGGGAGAGATAGAAAAATTGAACGATATCCAGCGAACAATCAAAATATTAAGAGATTCGTTAAGGGTTTGCACCGAGTTGGCGACTCGCGTTTCAGGAATTAACAGCGATGAAACTCGGCCCTTGACAAGTTCAGGCTTGCAGAGACGATTACCCTTTGTTCGTAGAGTACGGCAATATTTTTACTTTTTAAGTAAAGTAAGTTCTGAACCGAACTCGAATATCGCGAGTCTGGCTCGCGATGCAAATTCTCAGGTAAAATTGAAAATCACGAGTCTGGCTCGCGATGAAAATCACGAGTTAAACAGAATAGAAGATTATAATAGAGGCATAACTCGGAGCTTAATACCGATTTGAATTCCTACAGAAGTACACCGTGCTTTACCGACTCTACATTTTTCTGCGTCATCTTGCGTGTTCTAACGATAATTATTCGCTCGTTGTCCGACGAAAACCTTCCCCTTTCTTAAAGAACTCCCTCGTTGTCCATTTCCATTGTTACGTGTATCTCATTTTCGGGCCGCTCGGCTTACGTGCGCAGCATTGTTTACAGTCGAGGAAAGCTCTCGGCAGAGGACGAAACGGGACACCGCTTAGGCGAAATCCGGACTCGAGAAGAATCTCGAAGCACCGCGGATACAAAATCGCGCGTCGTCCGACACAATAACTTCCAGCGGTGGTGCGCTAGGTGGCCTGGAGACACGGGTACATGTCGTGACACAATTTCCGGTTTGTACGTGCGACCGTTCGTTGGCCGCAGATTCTGCAGTTTATTACGGATCGAAGAGTCGAGTGGAACTTCACCTCGTTCTCTTTAAATCGTCGAGTTATTGCTAAGCTCGCACTTATCGCCATTTACCGCTGCGCTCGACCCGCGCCAAAGAGTACAGAATTAAGAGCTACTCCCTAGTTTTCTTACCGTCGGTTTTCTGATTCTATTTCCTAGCCAAACTACCTGACGATTAACTTTGAAACTCGGTCCGTTTAATTGCACGTGTACTTACGTAGTATCGCGGATAAGGAGTCGAATGTTAGGCTGGCGAAATTTAAATTGTCTTCTAATCGATACTATCACTGTTATGTGCAGGAAGCCCCAGGCCGTGGTCCCGGTGGCAGCGAATTAGATGCAATTAGAGGAAGGAAGGAGATCAAGGAGAGGCAGGAGCTTTCAGCATGACGTAAAAGCAGCCGATATTCATGAGAAAACACTGGAAAACCTTACGTCCAGGCGGATCCCCTTTCTCATTCAAAACAGCGTGAAAGAAACGCCCGAGAACGGGAGAGGGCCCTCTCGCATTTAAATACGCAACGTGTCTCGTGAACTTTTAGACGCCTACGGGCGCACGACTAATTAACTATTAAACGAGGAGCAGGGGATGATTTTCTCGCCCGACACGCTCCATGAAATCTCCTGGAAACGATCTAAACGCGTCGTTGAAGAATTCAATCGTCGATTCCTCCAAGGAAGAGAGCCCCTTCGACTTTTCCAAGCGGAAGAAGAGCAGATCCGTTTCGTTGGAATTCCATTCGACGAAGGCAACACCTGGAATTATTAACGGTTCGGGCGAAACGAAAGCAATCTCGATTCCCGGAACCTTCGGTGGGAATAAGAGGTACAGCGAATCGTCGAGATAATACTACTTGCGCGTTTTTGAGAGAAAGATCGCTCGAGGGAGAAGGTTTTCCGGCGGCGGTGAAAGGGAACTCGTCTGGTAACGATAAATCGTTGGGCCTGACGAGCGCATAGTTAATAGGAAATAGAGCTTAAATTTTAGAGTGAGTTCTAGATAAAGCAGCGACCCTAACGGCGCAAAAGAAATTTGTTTGCAAAATAGTCGGGATCACCGGTCTCGTTAGTTTCTGGAAATCTCCGTAATCGGTTGTCCCGCGGAAAATCGTAGGATTACTTAGTACCTTCTCGAAAAAGAAAGGATCTCTCAGGATGGAATGCTCTTTGTCTCCCAGACGATAGCAAAACGGACCATGGCTCGAACGTAGATATAAAAAAAAAAAAAAAAAGAGAGAGAAAATACAGGTCAAACACGGCGTGTCCATCGTTCGAAAGAAGAAAACGATTCGAAAAGTTAGCTTACTTTGTAACGCTGGGAAACTAGAGCGAGGGATCACCGTGTATGTTCAGGAAAATTACTCTCCGTCGAGGGAAAATTAAATACCGAGAGTCTGCAAATCTCTGGAATCCGAGTTAAGTAGAAAATTGTACGACTCGCTGGACGGTTCCGAAAGGATAACCTTCGCTGGGAAGAAGGATACGGCTCCGTTTTTCTAACCGGCGAGAAAAAGGAATTCGACGGGCGCGTAGCCGAGAGGAAATTGAGCTTGCATTGTCAAAAAGAGCAAAAATCGCTTCGCTTTGGAACACTGGAAAATTGGAACAGGATATTACTACGTTCATTAAGAGCAGACTCCATCGACAGGAAATCGGATAGTGGAACTCTGGATGTCTCCGAGGTCGGCACACAAGAATCCGAAAAGAAGAGCGAATTTTCTCTCTTGTTTTCGGAAAGAACGAAACGCCATTACAGTTAACAAAGAGCCGAGCTTAAATTAGAAGGCGAAAGGCATTTGTCTTCCTTCGAGACAGCAGATTATTACGTTGAGTAAGCTCCATTGAAAGAATATCGGACAACAGAACCCTGAAGATCCCTGTGAGACCAAGGTAAACACAAGTGTTGTAGGAGTTGCTGTACTACTTCGAGTACCTATCGTTCTTTGAAAGGAAAGATTAACGGGTTCGTTAAACGGATCTCATCGACGCATTAAATAACGCGACTGTGAACAAGATTCCGAAGAAAATAAAACGAAAGAGAGAAAACAAAACTGGAATTAAGAAGAAGCTAATCGTCAATTTCACCGAATAAAAGGTATCTTTTTTTTCAAACTACGAGTCACCCAGAATTCGACCTGAAATTTCACGAACGCGGCAAGATTCAGAAAGAAGCAACCCTCTCGGGAGGAAGGAGTCCTCTCTCGTTTTTCAAAACGGTGGACACTAACACACGAAAAACGGCGAACCATTACGGCGTCCACTATACGGGCTCGTACGCGTACAGCAACGGGGCACCGAGCGTCTACAGCAGCTACCCGACGAACGCCGGGTTCGCCCAACATCATCTCCATGAAGACTACAGGCCGATTTACTTTTACGTAGCGCAGCCGTACACTATCCCGTACACGTTCGCGAGGAGACCCAGGCCGTCGTCCCTCCTCAGGCCGGGCAAGCCTCGGAGCAACTGTCGCGTGAAGTTCTCCAAGAAGCTCGGCAACGCCGACTTCTCGCAGAAGGTGAAGCAGGGCGAGTTCTCGAGGAGCCTGAGCCAGGTGCACTTCGTGGAGAGCCAGGGACAAGGTACGTGCTCGTTTATTCCGACGTTCGTCGTTTTCTGGTAGCTTTGACTTTCGGCGCAGCCTTTGGTCACCTTTACGCACTCGGTGGACTTTTTGGCGTGATAGTTCTTCGTGTTTGCAATGGTCTTTGCAATGGTGGAGCCCTTGGGGTTCTCTATGGTGCTTGTAGTGGCTCCACACAGTGTTGTCTTCCTTGCTATAGTCCTCGATGTCCTTTTTGACGTTAATATTCTTTCATCTCGGTTGCTAACGGTATACAGTAAAGTCTCCTGAAATGCACAGAAACCATCTCTAACCCTTGAGGGGCCGAGAAGTTTGATCGCCGAGTAGTTTAACACCCTGGTGTTTTCGTCTTTTCGTTCTTCCTCTTCTTTTCTATATTCGCTGTCTTCTACGTCTCGCAAGTTCAGTCTCGAGTTCCTTTGCGAAACCGAACAGAATTTGTAACTTTGGCAACGTAACGAAAATAAGTATCCTAGCGCAATAATTCCTAGAGAAACATCTAGCAGAAATGTCGACAAGCGTCGGTCTGGGAGCGGAGGTACCCGGCGAAGGGCCCTTGGGGCACAGGGTCGAAGGGTTGAAAAGAAAAAGTAGTCGAAATGTCGAGCACTTGGTCTCTCGAGGCGCTTTCACGTCGGTGGATTCTTCTAGCAGACCGGATAATTGTTGCGAAAGCGGCATAGTTTCTGCGGCATAATTTAAATAGTTGCTGTCGTCAAGTAGACTACCGATGCCCACGCCGAGAGCGTCTTGTTCCCGCGCGTACAGCCGCTGCGCGTCTCTTTTGAGTTCGTTGAAAAGAGAAAACACCAACCGGGAGAAAGGAACGTTCTCCAAATATGAGGTGTCATTTGAAACCACTCGACGAGGAACGTTTCGTATTTGGATAACAAATGTGCACCCGATTTCGAATAGCCGACGTTTTTTTCCGCTTGGAAGGAAACGTGGACGCTTAAAAAGCTAACGACCGCCAACGAATCGGGCTAAACGTCGCGAAACTAGGCGCGACTGCATTTTTACGCGTACTTTTTCCAATACCGTAAATCACGATACTAATGTTCCTACAAGTTCCTGTAAGTTAACCAGTGTTCCTTCTCGGTTAAGTTTCAAAGCTTCGACACTCAAGCTCTTCTATCGGTAGCACTGATATTTTCGTAACAAATAGTTCGATCCTTAAACCCGGCGAAATTTAGTTTCGAACCACTGTCGAAGCCCGTGTTTACCTTCGATTTCGAGGGAAACGCGCCAGGCAATTCACTGTTCCCGTGGCGGAGCGCGAACTTGATCGAACGGGTTACGCGCGTTCGGAACGAAAGGAATGCCATGCCGTGCATCCGGTATGACTCGCCTCTTCTTTCTCTTCTGTACAGTGATCTCGAACTATCCGAAGGCTGGGCCGACGTCGCGTGACCCAAGGATGACGTCCATGTTCCGACGGGGCACGATCTTCGCCACGTTCTTCCTATCTTTGCTCGGCGGAGGACTCGTCTGCGCCGCACTCGTAACGCAACACTGGGTCGAGGCTCGACCCCTCAGGACGCCCAATCCCCAGGAAAGCTCTGGCAGGGTTCACTTTGGCCTTCTTCAAGGAAAAAAGGAGCTGAACGTCGCCTACGGATGGAGGACCTACCACATTTCTGGTGAGCTTTTACTTTTACGCTGGGCCCACGGAGATTTATCATTACGGAGATTTTTACGCAGATTTCTATTACCGAACCGATGTTTTAATACAGGGCTTCTGAAACTACGGGTCGCGACCTCGAACGGGACTCTAATAACGAAATCTTGGGATCGCGAGAATTTTAATGTAAAATATTTAATATTCTCTCGTAGCAGAAGAGTAATGGCTTTTTCGTTAATAATTCAAAAACGACGCACCATCCGACATTTTTGCGAAGGAAATTGTGATTCGGAATCGTCCTTTTTTAATCATATTTGTCATGAAATTATAAAAAAAAAAACGTTGACACGTTGTCGGTATCGTCAACGACATCCGCGTCCAGGATATCGACTTGCGATGCGAAGTTAGATAGAATTTTGTTTGTTTAAGCGTCGGAAGTTCAAGGTAAGTTTACGAGTTTTAAGATATCCCGAGCAGAGTGTATGCGGGTTCGTATCTCGCGCACGGCATTACCAACCGCAACGACTCCCGAGAAAAAGTGCTGGTATCGCTCGCCTTCTTCGATTCGTGATCGAGAATCGCGAGTTAAAACACCGCCCACGTAGTACCTCGATACTATTGCGTAACATGTCACGGGGCGAACCCTGATACCTGTCCATTAAATTATTCTACCTGCTCGCGACTACTCGATCTGCATTCCTCGCGGAGCTGCTTAACAACATCATTTCGTGTAACGTTCTATCGCAGGGGAATGGATCTTCTTTTTTTACTTGGATTCCATCCAAACGTTAGTCGCTCGAGTTCTATTCCAATATTCGAGTCATTCGAGCGTGCCTTGATTTCTTTGGAACTCGATGCGCCAATAAAATGATTTTTGCCAATCGAGGTGCCTCGCCGACTGTCCAGCAACCGACAATACCCGTTCTTATGATCGAGGTGTTTCCGTAAACGCCGCGCTCTCGTTACATCAAGATAAAGGCCGGTTCCTGGGAAGGAGATCGCCAGCTTGCAATCGGATACGCTCGAAATCAATCAACGCGTTAATGCTCTTCCTAAATACCTGAAATACCATGATTACAGCAGCTCGGTTCACCTCGAGAGCGCGACTGGTTGCAATATCAGTCGACGACGAGTTATCATCGCGGCGAACCGCGCGAGGAAGATTCCTTCGTGTTCCAGGTACACGGTGCGATACTGTGCCCATAAATTCTGCCGGATGGTTGGCCAGACTGGGGAATCTTATTCGGCATAACTGTACCTGCACGCGATCTCTGAAGCCGATGTGCGAACGGGAGAGTCTCCGCTCGTATCCGCGATAAATCTTCGCCTCGATAATCGCCGTCGGATCAGTTTCGTTTAACTTCGACGCTCGATCCGCGGCACCGTCTTTTCTGTTAGTCACGAAAACCCATGGGTAATCGGCTGTAGATTATACGGACATGCTTGCCAACGTCCTCCCTTTCGATGCTTTACGTCCATCCGTTTCCGATTTTCTAGCTACCCGACGACGATCCTTCCGAGTAAGAAACGTTTGGTAAATTCTAGACAATGGCGTTCATCGTGGCTAACGAGCACCGCGATCCCGTTTATCCCATAATGAATTTTTTTCCCAGCATCTTAAGCGACTGGAGTTCCTGTGGTAACAGGACTACGTATTTATAATGCTCGCGTGTCCCGTCGCCCTGATACCGAAATCGTTACCGCCCGAGGAAACTTTTATCGCGCTATAACCTGGCGGTACAATGCCGGTCAGAGCGTTCGGGCGAAAATATCCGCTACCTGTACCATCTTTATCCGCAAGACGCGCCACCGTTAACCATTCGGACTAAAAACAACTGTGAACTGTATTTCTGTGCCTGTATTTTCATTAGGAGATTTCCGTTTTGCTCTTCGTACAAATTTTCTTTTAAACGGTTTCCTTGCCGTGTCCTCTAGCAAAGACTCCAAAAGTAATCGTAGCGCGAAATCGATTAACCCGTTGACGCCGATTTGCATCGCCGTCGTTCGTGTCTGTACCGCGAGGCGGCGTGCATCACCGGTGGGTCATGCTTGCCCTACCGCAGATGCCGCGCCGCCCCACCACGCGGACGCTGCAAAACCGCGCCGGCGTCAACGTGTTCATCCATGGGGCATACTCTCCCCACCTCGAGGCGAACAATTTGAATAGCATTTTACGTGCTCATCGTTGTAACGGTCTGGCGTCTTTACGCACTTCGGTTACGGCATAATTTTTCGCGAAAGCAGACGCAAAAAGCCGTCCAACCCCGCGCGAATAAGGAAATCGTTACGGAACGCTGCGCTACTTTGCAAGCCAAACGCGAACAACGGACGATAATGATCGGGCCAACACCGCGGGCTGCTCGGGTCGCGAGTGTTTTGTCGTCGTTAGTTATTCCGGTCTCTTCGTTTTCGTACGAGAAAAAAACAAACTGTTTCCCGCGTTCGCCGCACAGGGTGAAATCAACGCTGGACGAAGATCTCGTAGACCCTTAGGCTAGGCGGTATCGCAAAGGGGCCAACTGGGTCGTTTGGCTCGCGTCTCGCTCAGAAACGATAATTGGGAAATTGGTATGTTCCAATAATTTAATGTTGGATTATAGGTGAGAATAATACGGTTTTATAAAATGAATTTTATTTCGACACTTGGAAGCCTCGGAAAGCCAGCCGCATTCGCTATCGAGGTTGTCTCTCGACTAACTGGCACCCACTTCTGAGAACTAAGGAGGACTCGGTGAGGACTTGGAACAGACACGTGATTCATTTTTGTCACCGGGCTAAATACGATATTTAGATCCAATTGATTCAACATCTAATAAACAACGAAAATTCTATCGATACGAACAACACAATTACCACGTGTCCCGCGAGCGATTATAAGTGAAATAAAAAAAAAAAAAAAAAATCAATTACAGATCGATCCCAAGACAGAACGAAACTACCACTTCGATCCGAAGAGTTCGCGAAGATTATCCTCGACTTCCCGTACCGAAAGTACGCCCGGAAATGTTTCCCTTCGATTTCCCCGCGTAATTTCAGAAATTCTTCCGTCAAGAGCCGAGAACGAAGAAATGGCCACGGGATCGCGAAAGGAAAACATTTCTCGGAATTATTGTCGGACTTCGTCTAACGAAAAATCGTAGTATACGTTTCCCTCGTCCGTTTCCGCGTCCACTCGAAATTTCGACTTCCATTCGCGTAAGTTTCGCTCTCGATATTCAATCTGCGAAACCAATTTTCGTGCGGCGTTTTCTTCGTTCGGGATATTCGTTTCTTCTACAGCTGTGTGCTGTGTTGGACTTCCGGCCCAGCGAGACAATTTTTATCCCGGAAGAAATTCGTCTGCTTCGAGAACCGCGGAAGGAACCGTTAATTCGAGGGAAAATTTGGCTGCTTTGTTCGATCTAAACAAAATGTAGCAAAGTTTCGAAATTCGTAGCGAAATTCCATAGATCGAAGCACGTGCGGTACGCGTGGACCGAGTTCCTCCCCCGAACGGTTTCCGGGATACTTCGAAATGCCCTCGGAGACAGAGGGAGAGATGGAAATTAGGGGATCCAGCCATGGAGGTAACGAGGGCATCGTGGTCCGAGCAGTTCTCGACCCAGTGGCGGGCAAAAGCGTTGAATACATTAGTCGCATTAAAATTCTTATTGCGAGCGATTTGCATCGCTTATCCCGGCACAAAGAGTCCGTTACCTTTGCAAGCGAATTCCGTATTTGCGCGGTCGGAACGAGCGAGTCGAGGCGCAGCGTTCGAGTTGTGTCTCTAAAGAATAAGAACAGTGGGGGATTGGTTGCGGCACGCGTCACGAGAAACGTTTCTCTTTCATCGAGACAGACAATAGCGCCAAAGGGACACGCGAGCGAACACGTACGGACTGGTCACGTATGTAACAATGCTCGCGTGCATACACGACCGTCTTTAACTACGCGGTGCGTCTTTAAACGCGAGGTCAATAATAGCCTTCTGTCACGTTGTGAACGCATCCAGCGCGACCATCGGTACGCGTGTCGCGATCGAATCGATTATTAATCTCCCGCGGCATCGTCGGCCGACAAACGACTGGCAAAAGTTAATTGGCTGGATGCGCGAACGGCCTTTAATCGGATGATTAAGAGACGCGAAGTTCCTATTTCTCGATCTCGTAAACAGATCTCGGTCGCACTTTTATCCGGATAAGAAACAACACTTTGTCCGGATTAAGCTTCTATTCGCGAGTTACGAAGAAAAGCTCGGCCTAAAGAAAAGCAGCCCGAGGGAGAAATTCCGTCTGCGAGAGCAGCCAGCGGCTGTAACAATAGGAACAGAAACTGGTTTCTCGACGTACAAAAATTTCCGACCGTGCCTCGTGGTCAACTTTCACGTGCGCGTAGGTACTCGTATCATCGAGGCTGCCGATGCTGACCACGGGGAACGTTAAAATCCTCTTTTTCACGGAAAGTCTACCGCGCGATGGAAAGTCGCGTATCGCGTTTCGAGAGAACGCGTCGATGTTGAGTATCCCACGTTTAAGAAACGGAACCGGTGCCCACGCTTCTTTAGCTAGAACTTATTGTTATATTTTTAGATGTTGGAAAGATCGAACGGAGATCCCAGAACGAACAGAACTCGGTTACGATAGCGAACGCCTTTATCACGGTGCCAGTTCGGTATCGATTTGCTTCGCGTACAGAGTCGGACCTCTCACGGAATCGGCTTTTCATATACCATATACACATCACTTATAAATCCAAAATGTAGCGAAGACTGGATAAGTCGTAGAGTTCGAGTCCTGAACGAATCTATAGCGTTCTACGTCTTCGAGGTTAGCGTTGTCTCCTTTTGCGCTCGAAGCAATTTTATTGCAATACGGTAAAGGCTGGAAAAGTGCAAGATGGCTATCTTCGCCATCGGGAGAGTTGAGGGGTGGTCTCCTGGACACTCGGTATAATACGATCCTAAACGATTGATGAGCTTCTGCCGACTGTTTCTTTTCCCTCGGACCTCTTTCTCTTTCCTCGCGATGCCTCGATTTTGTCGAGAATGGAATTCAAGATCTCGCAACTACTCGCCCAAGAATGCACCTATTCAAACTCCGTGCAGTTTGAAGGATGAGGTTGGCCCGCCAAGACGCGTGTTTGCATCGCCGTAGCGGATAAGTAGCCGACGTGACGCCGGCCTCATACTTTAAGTAGATCCCTAGGATAAGTTTCTTCCCGTGGAAATTCCTGGGATGTCCTCCAGCGGTCGCAGGCTGTCAACTTGGCGATTCGCTGAGACTCTAGCCCCGGGCTAATTATCTAGTTCTCTATTTGCGACGCAATATAACTTGAACCGGCCAAAGCAACGAGTATTTGCCGCTCGCTTAATTATTCATTACGCCTCGGCGGTAATCTCAATTTGCAGCGTCGATCCGCCGCTGATTCGGCTCCTCTACAGAAAAAAATAAACGAAAATCGCGAGCTTCGAAGGGTCGAAGTTACGGTCGAGCCTCGGCCGAGTTAGAGCTGGGCTGTTCGATGCCGGCACGATGACGATAAAAAAAGTTTTGCTGTTAAACGATCCTATATACATATACTATTTTTTTTATTTTTTTTTTTTTTTTGTAGTGCCTGAAATGATCAGACAGGACCCAACGGTGATGTCCTGGGGACTCTGGATCAGCACTCTGACGACGACCTCGGCGGCCCTCGTCACCGCTGGCCTCGCCGCGCTTCTCGCTGTGTTGAACACTGCCACGTCGCCTAGGTCAAAAATCCTCTCCGATCCAGGGGTATACTTCATAAATATTTTAACGCGTAAGTTAAAAGGGCAAACATTTTTACGACAGACTTCTTCTAGTCTCTTATTCCTTCCCTTTCCTGTATCGTTTTCAGTATAGTTGTCCTTGTCACTTCTGATGACCATTACGTATAGTTTTGTTCATCTCTGCTTCCAAGAGCGATAGATAATCCTCTACCTGAGCGATAAACGCCACCGAGAACGCGACAGAGGCGCGGCTGGAATATTGACTTGACCGTTTGTTTTAGTCTTAATGTGCCTCGCGAGCACGAGCACTTGGCTGGCGCAGTATTACACGAAGCTGTACTTCAACGTGCTGCCGAAGGAGGACATCGACAATATGTGGACCAGCGAAGGTTCCGCTGAGCTCGGTTATTCGTTTTGGTAAGAGACCTTTTATTCTCCCGTTCAATGGCGATGGAGCATCGCGTACACGGAGGCTCCCGGAGCCGGGCCGAGCTACGCCGATGATTCCATGCTTCACGGATGGCAAGTTCTAAAGCCTGCTGTCCGATACGATAGATGTTTCTCTGCTTTCCGTAACGTACGATGCTTTCCGAAGCGATCAGCAGTTGCGGGCATGAGGGAAGGCATCGTTCGGGAGTTCGATGATACCATAAACTACAGCCTTCGTTTACCAACTTATTAAAAACAAATATTATCGCGCGTTTCATTCTTAATTCACCGCCGGTATACGCTAACCATGTGTGATATATTTTAATGAATTCGTGCATGAATGTTGCACGAGCCTATATCCTATAGTCCTGCTTCCGGGTCTCTCTGCGTACTGTCCTATTGAATTCTACTATGTAGCTATTGTCTACCATATTGTCTACCATATTGTCTACCGTATTGTCCTATTGGATTCTATCAGCTGCTTCAACGCTTGGCAATTGCAATGCATTAGCATATTCAGTCAAGGCCGGCTTTAAAGCAAAGCAGATCAGGCACTGGCCTAATGGCGCTCAGGCTTAGGAGGCGGATAGCCTTGCCCCCACCTTTCGGAAACAAAACCCACGAAGGAAATTTAACGTATCTCGTTCCTCGAAGAAAGGAGAAATTCGAATAACGATGCGATCTATCGGATCACGCGATCAATATTTACTTTCATACTCTGTAGAAAATTGGATTCCTCCGGAGGAGCGTAGGCGTCACGCGACGGTTAACGAGGCTTAATAAGGGGGAGCGCTTGATCTGTTGATCGATAATCTTATATATATATATATAAAAAGATGAAAAGCTGAGAGAAAGATTGAGCTGCACATTTTTCTGTCTCTGCTTCAGGCTCGTTGTGTGCGCCGGTGTGGTGCATTTAATCAGCATAGCACTGGTTGGCTGGGGCTCAGGACGAGACAAAATCGAACGTCTCGAGGCGATTCCTGCCCTGGAAGAGAAGACCGCCGCGGCAATAATGCTGTATTAAGTCCAAGGATTCACGGTGCGATGACTCAAGGAGAGATCCATCACAGAAATGAAACGGCGCTCGCGTCGTTAGCGAAAAGCAAACTTCGATGTTTCCGCTGTTCGACGACGTATTTCGTAAAGTTCCTACATGTTTGCTGGCCCATTTAGCGCTGCGGCGTCTGAACTGTGAACACGTTAACGGAATTAGCAGTAAACCACGGACGAATGTTGTTAACGGTCGAGATCAAGGTTCCGAGAATTTTTACGTAATACCAAAGCGTAAAAAGTTCCGAGATTCGATAAGATTTCATGGGAGAATTTGTTACGTGTAAAGATATACGTAGAGCGAGATTTGATCGCGGAACATCGAAATTAAGGTAAGGAATTCGACCGTGAACGATAGACGAATTCGCGAAGCAATTACTTTTGTAAGATGCAATCTTCGGTGGAATGTTTCGTTCGGTAAACATGTAATCGCGGTGTTTCTAAAACCGCTAAGGTAATCGCGTGTGGATATCAGAGCGTGCAGTTGACGAGTGTTTCTGTTATGAACACTGTGAAATGGACGTTGTAGAATGAATTCGAAATCATAAGTGTATATTACGTATCGTTATACTATGTCACAATTTTCAGTAATAAAGTCGATGGACATCTCAATGTGGACGTTTAAACGTATCAAACGACACGATTGCGACTTGTAGTATAATAATCTGAATACTCTAGTTAGTTGTGTATCTTTCGTGCATCGTATGTCTTGCCTTTCACGCTTGCCGGTCAAAAATGGCTGCTCAAGGGCATCGAAGGTTATTCGGTTACGCTGCAATTCTAACCTCTGGTCTCGGCGTGTCAAGCCGATATCCGAGGCGAGCAAAACTCGAATAAAATTTTGGCCATTTTTTGTTTGTAAAAGGAGTCGACTCGTTTAGACGATCTTCTTGCATCGAAACTTCGTCTTCGATCGTTCGTACGAACGATAAAAGTTGGCTTACGGCTTTGCGAATTTTCTATCAACTAAGTCTCGTGTAGGATGTAAATAGAAACGGAGTTTGATACTCTGTAGTGATTTATTTATTACGTAGTATTGTAATTGTTAACTATATCATAAATGTAATAAAACAATTAAAAAGACAATACGGACAAGATGTATAGATCTTAGCTTATACCATAATAAAGAAGTCGGCTCTCATTCGCTGCCATGAACTTATGCGTAAGGTGACCGTCTCTCGGTCACGCTTCTTCTTCCTTAACCGAGGGAGAGGTGTCGACGTAATCGTATTCCGGTTTATTAAGAAAACGTAACGTAAGTATCAGGATACAAGAGACCTTTATTGATGTTTTGTGACTTTTCACACCTGTTGTCAGGTTACCCAGCAAATTCAATACAGTTCGGCATTCATACAGTTCACCATCTATTCTGCTCTGTACATTGATTCATATTTCACGTATAGTTGTGATACACTAATTACTATGTATACTGTTAGAGCTTTTTCTTCGTTTCTTTACAAGTCTAATGCATGTAACGCAGCGTGGTCGATTTAGAAAACTTTTGTTCTGAGTTTAAAAATATTATAAAAACACAATTTCATCGTCGTCTGTTAACATATATATTACGTTTTCTTTTTCCCTAATGTTTGTGAATTGGCTAACGATTCGATCATCTTTGTGCTTTCTTTTTACCGTTACGAGTATGTCGGATGAGGTACGAAGCGGTGCACGAAACAGTAGAGTTGGGCCCATCGTGTAATTTCAGGCAAATGTCTAACTGCGTAGTATGCACTCTTCTTGAAAAATGATAAACATTGTTTCTATAGATAGTCTTCAAGTCTTAACGCCGGCTGACGTGCGACCATCCATCATCCTCTGGTTGTCGTCTTCTTTCGTCGTTTTTAGCTGGAAGTCTGTCATCTTTCGGGTCGTCCCGCCTATCGATAAAAACGTGACGTTTAGTATAATACGTACAAGATCGAACGATATTAGACTCGATGTGCTTACTTTTCATCGCGTCTGGGTAGATCCCGAGGAGAGTTTTGTATCGCATCGCTTTTGTCGCGCCAGCTTTGATTACTATTACGCATCGAATCTTCACGACGACCCCCACCGAGACTGCCAAGACCACCGCGTTCACTACGTTCACCACGTTCACCGCGTTCACCACCAAAACCACCGCGTTCACCGCGTTCGCTGCCAAAACCACCGCGTTCACCGCCACGCCGATCGGACATCCTGCCACGGATACGGGGTCCATCCGATATCGGGTCTCGAGGTATATCGCGCGGAATTTCGCGTATCTGTAAAAAAAAAATATGTTTAATATATTTGTTACGATATGCCTTCCAAAAATAAAACGCAGTCTACAAATACCGCGCATGTCGTCGATACACTTACCGGACGATCCATTCCACGATCTTTATCTATTCTGTCCCTGTCTCTGTCCCTTGTATCGTCTTTATCGTAATCGTCCTTCCTCCATTTGTCGCCGATATCTCTTTTCGGTTTATCCGCATCGTCTTTCCTCCACTTACTATCTATTTCGCGTCTCTTCCAACGCGAGGAATCGTCTTTAACGCCGTCTTCTTTAGTATCCATTGAACGACGCCATGACATTTCCATTGGTTTATCTTGAATACGGTAACGTTGTTGTGGCTGTTGATCTCCGCGTCTCCACGTGTCCGACATGTCCCCGTCTCTTTGTCTTTTTTCCTCGAGCTTCCGTTCAATCTCGGCTTCCCTTGCTCTGGTAATATCCGCTTGTTTCTCGATCTTTGCCAAACGTTCGGCTTCCTTTGCCTCTTCTTCGGCACGTTTCAATCTCTCTTCTTGCTCCTTCTTGGCTCTTTCCTCTTCGAGGCGTCGTTTCTCTTCTTCCTGCTTGATACGCAAATCCTCTAAACGTTTCTTCTCGAGAGCTTCGGCCCGTTCTTTCTCCCATTTCGCTTTACGCTCAGCCTTGCGTTCCATCTTGCGTTTCAATAATCTACTTGCTCTCTCTTCGTTCAAGACTTTCTCGAATTCCGCCAGTTTCTCTAAATAGATACTCTTACGTTCGGCCAGGATCTTCGCTAAGAAACTATCGTGATCCTCTTTCATTCTCGCCATGCGTTCCCGAGTCGCGACAGCCTGCTGTCTCTCCTCGATGGCAGCGGCAATCCTTTCCGCCTCTTGTTGTTCCCAGCGTTGTTTCGCCTGCTCCATCTTTTCTTCCGCCGCTTTCTCCACCAACGGAATTTCTTCCAAACGTTTCGCACGTTCCAAGTAATCGATCTTCTTCTCCTGGGACTTCAATTTCTGTTGCATCTCACGACGTTCCTTCTGCAATTCTTCAGCTTCGCGGGCTGCAATTTGTTCCGCGTCTAGTTTCTTGATCTCGTCTTCGTCTAATTTCTTCAGTACCTTCTGACCGTGACTAGTTTGAGAAATCTGTTGCATTTTCTCTTTAAGATGGCGATCCTTGATTTGTTGTATCTCGCTCTGTTGTCGTTTCCTTTCGCGTTCTTCTCTTTCCTGTTCGAGTCTTTTCTGCTCGGCCAACATTTGCTGTCTCTGCAATTCTTCCTGTCTTCGCATTTCCTCTTCTTCGCGGACAGTGTTTATGTGTTCGATGTACTCCTTCCTTTCCTCAATGATCTTATGTCTTCCTAGAATTCTTTGATGCTCCTTCAGCTTAGTTTCATGGTAATGACTTACCATTGCGTTACGCAATTTCTCCCTCTCTATCTTCTTCTTATTTGGATTGATAATGTTTATTGCTCTGTGTAATACGGTAGCCATATTTACAAGTTGACAACGAATTTGTTCAGACGGCATTGCCTGTAGGACAGGACCATCGGGATGATCTTCCCTCTGCGCTTCGGACAAATCAACTCCGAAGTGAACACATTTCTTTCCGTGATTAATTCTTATCTGCATGTCGTTGTATCTTACACAGTCGACCAACAGTCGTTCCAGATGAAAGTCCGTTGTAAATTTAGCAAGTTCCAAAAGCCTGGCGAACTGTATGGTTTGGTAAACCTGAGATATTTGATGAACCAAACGCACGAGTGTTACGTCTTGCAACGCTGGAACGTACTGAATCAGAGGACCAGTTTCATCGGTCTGTAACGTTTGAATAACAGAATCTACTCTATTACACAGATCCAAAGGATGGAATTCAACTTCCAGCCACGAGTATAATTCTTGCAACTGCGGCGACGCTAAATTTACAATATTTAAACGAACTATATCTTTAAGTAGAGAAACTCTTGTCGGCGGTTGAGTGAGTCCTAAAAGCGTCGCGAGCTTTTGAGCTTTCTCTAACGGACTCTTATCCGTTTCGATAAAACGATCAAATTCAGGATGAGCTGACGGCAGTGGTATAGATAGCGTAGCTAACAAGACACGATTGGCCATTCTCTGCTGTTCCTCGGGTGACATATTCTTCTTCATTTCGCGAGAAAGCTGCAGCAATTTGAACAGAGCAGCAGCATGGAAAAGATAGTTTCCAGCTTTCCAGAAAACCATTGCCAATTTTTGGTAATAATTGGCCATAGTTTTTGGTACTGGAAGCTTTTTGGACAAGTTCATCATACCGTGCACGTCTTCGGAGGACTTGAACGCCTCTTGCCATAACTCCATTTGAATCGCAGAATCGAGCTGATTCAATCGTGTTTCTAGGTTCAATTGTTGTGTCTCGGCTCTGTTCATGGACACGTTAGAAACGAGTGGTGGCAATTTACAAATTTCTTCTAGATGTTTTCTCAATTTCTCGCATAATTTGCGAAATTCTGTCTTACGATTGTACTCGAGACAAAATTGAAAGGCCATACGCGCGATATCGTGATACAATGTTTCCACGTGCGCATTGGTCCTCAGTAATTCCAAGCACTGACAATACGACTCCCATAAAAATTTCACCCAAGGTGTTAAAATGGTACGATCGCTTCTATCTTGCGCATCTTCCCCGCTAACAGCCGATAGCAAGATACTTTCAGGTGTAGCTAAATTATCAAGATCATCTATATCTATAACGGCTTGTTGACTTTGCTTCCGTGCTTGGTTTGTCTTTTCTTCCGCCATGCGCAAGTATCCACGTATAACATTTTCCAAACTTCCAACATTCACGGATTGGAACATGTTTCTGTATTGAAATAGGCCCTCCTTTGCTATATGTGATTTTTTTAGTTCTACGCAGAGGTCTAGGTACTTGAACATTATAGGTTCCAAGACCGACTCTGACCAGCTGTACGTCCATTTTTTATTGCGGAAGACTTCTTGTAAAGTATCTAATGCTCGAGCTGGTTTTCCTACTTCGATGAATTCTGTTGAAAATAGAAACAAACGGACATTTTTTCGTTAACCTACTAAATCAAAATTTTATTGTATTTATTTTCAGAACTGAATTTCTGATGTTAAGGATTCATAAAAAAATGCTAAATTAAGTTTTTCAATTGCTATAATTCGATTCGGTATGTCCGTTAAACATGTTCTTTAAGGTTGATTGATTTCAGGTTATATTTCAAAATAGTTCCCAGGGTTTATGTAATCAAGTAAATAGATGCCTGTATTGTCAAAGTCAGTTCAATGATACCGATGCGAACAAATTTCACCGTAAGGCACTTCCAACGTCCGACACGAGAGCAAAATTAACCGCGATTTGTGTTTATGGGTATCGAAAAACACGTACCATATGAACGTAATTAACGCGAATGTACACTTTGTCCATTCGAGTAACGTTCACGTGAAAAGGAAGTTTTACATTTAATTAACATTAATTCATCGTAGCAAAGTCGTTTCCGGAGATAGGCAACCTGCATAATTGTTCCGTAGATACATATGGTTGGGTAAAATATATATTTAAAAAAAATCAGACAGACGTGACTATAGGCGACACGAATGTTATACAAGTAGCATTTAGTACACGGCGATTAATCGATGGTACGAAAGCGTACGATCGAATAGGACGGTGGATTATCGAAAATTTCTGGGGCTATGAGGAAACGTCTTTTTGAACTCTGTATTAAAAATCTATCGGCCATGTCATATCGTCATTTTAATGAACAGTATACGTACCATTCGCTCTTTTCAGAGCGTTCTCTGGCCTTTGCCCGTATCGCGCCATTTTTTCGCACGAATATAGTTAATTTCACACCATACACGCTATTGCGGAATCCGATAAATCTACGTGAAAAATCTGGAATTTTCGTCTATTAACGACACGACGTTTGTCACGATGGACCCTGACCGCATGTACCGGATGAAAGGCGGCCACTACGGTAAAATGGCTTCCTGTAATATGTGAGTCAAATCAGGCCACCTAGTTTTCCAGAATCTTTAGAATAATTCGTACAAACAGTCATAGTCGTCGAAAAAAATTCAATTTAGTTTATTGCTATTATCGCTATTGCGATAAATTCATATTGGGATTATCATAATTGCGTTGATTGGACATGAACAAGGGTAGTAAGTAGGCTTGGCACCAGGAGTCGCCATGATCGATTTTCAATATCGTTTGTCGAGTGTAGTTTATTACTTTTAATATGAACATATCGTCTCTCTTCTATATAATTTAATAAGCATTTAACATTAACCGATTATTCATTGTGTTCGTTATGTTTATTTAGTAGGTAATATTGTTTACAGTGAGTTTTCTAGTCGTCGGTCAATTCGTTCCGTGTTTTCCGCGTAAATTGAATCCCGCGTAAGTTGAACTGTTCGAACAGAATGTGGTGCAGGGAGGAAGGAGGATCAAACACGAATTAAGAAGAATTATTATCTTCGAATAAAGTAAATACTAACAAAGTCCAATTATTTTGTTAGATCTATGTTAATTTGTACATATTTCGTAATATTGTATACTTGGAATATTTGAGGCTTTCGCGACCCTATTTTTCGTGGTTAGCATAAATCGAAAAATTATTAATGGACGCTACACTTTCAATCGTGTATGTTAATGTCGTCAAAGTGGTTAATGGTATCGCGTATCACAGTTATCGAGATGATCCAATCGAATGAATTTATTTACAAAAATATACAATAGATTATAATAGAAACAGATTCTCTGCAACAGCCAAATTGATTAAGAAGTTTTCAACGGCTGGCGGTAGATTTTTTTCCTTCAATGTTTGCGCGGAAACCATCTTTCTTCCATCTGGTCCTTGAACCAGAGCCAAAGATGTTAACTGGTTCAAAAGATCTTGGGTTTTATCGTTTATTTCGGATATTATTTGAGTTTCCGTATACGTCTGATTTTCACAAAGTTGAACCATGAATAAAGCTATTTCTTTGTGTGTCTTTGTCATTGTAAGACTTTCTGAAAACAAATGTAGCATTTTCACAGGTAAAAAATATTTAATGAAACGAAGGTTTTATCGAATCTTTCTTTACCTTTTGCATGCGAAGCAACGGTAATTTCTCTAGCTGGAATATTTACAAGTAGATCGTACAGATCCGTTCTCGACGATATGGAGCTATTTCTGCAGCCCGCGACGTAATACGAATGTCTCTGCAAAAAATTTTCTAGTTTAAACATTTTTCATAATTTTGTATTCTAAGGTATACGTTAATCAACGTACCTTTAATTCTGTTAATTCGTCATCGACCAGATCGATCCAAGGAAACAAATTGTCTGTGACTTTACGGTGTTTCATTAAAGCAGGAAACAATCCAATCCATTTCAAAAGTTGTTCCAAGCTATGATGATAAACAATTATTCTTTTCTTCAAAAGAAGCGCTGTGTATATCAAAATTGTCTCCAATTCAAAAGTTTTAATTAATTCTTTAATGTTGGTATTCACTGTAAACCGATGGCTATTAAAGTCATCGGAAACAAATGTTCCGTTTTCTTGAGTAGAACAAGATCCTTTAGTAAATACCGAAAGGTACAGCTGTAAGATTTCTGTTGGTTTTCCAGTCTTGCAGTACATTTTGCTAAGCACTCTTGAGAGTACTTCGTATTTTCGTGGGTTAAAGTCTTTTGCAAACAAAACCAATGCAAATTGCTTGACCTGTGTTGAAGACAATTCTTGTTTGTTTCCAGTAACTTCATTGCGCGTACATATCTTTGATAAGCATAGTTACTTAGCTATTTTATGGGGTTTCAAAGAAATCATAACTTACTTTTGGTAATTTGTCTGAATCGAATACTTCGCTACAATGTATGTAGAACCAATCGTGTTTTTGTCTTGAAAATACAAACACTTGCGGAGAATTATGCTCCAATTCTAAGTTACATTTCCTCGCAACGACTGCTTTTTGCGATTCCGATATCGTCGGATAAGACCACGTCCACAATACATCACCGTTAGAATCTTTCTCTGAAAATTGAACGAAACGTAAGAAATATCGATTATAACTCTGAACACGTAATTACGATAATAATTACCGATTATGCTGCACGAAAGTAAATCTGTCAGTGGGGCCATATCAAGAAAGTATTATCAACAGATCGACCCATTAAGTTATGTGACGATAATTAGGCACCTAATCGACGACTTAATCTTGTTTAGAGATCGCATGTAATACAGCATTCCTACGTTTTGACACAAGTGATCATGATAAACATGTAAAAAGTAGGTTTGGCAAGTTTAACATTTGTTGAGGTTATGTTTCATGCGAAGGCGTATTTTATATATTGCTAGATGGAACATCGAGCCGCCCTGAATCTAGTGAAATTAGTATTAGCTTCTATCCATATGATCATGATAGTATTATCAGTGTACTCGATTGGTAACACACAAATTTGTATCGCTAAATCTATAAATGTAAGAGTCTTTTTTATCATGTTTAGCTATAGCATCAGTTTCTCGAACGAGCTTGCTCGTGAAACGGTTATTATAAATTTTGTGTACGTAAATATTGTTATCTAACGCAAATTTCGCCATCTAACGTTGCAACTATACGATAGTTAAAAGCTCGTCGATGGTACAGGGAACTAACGAACCATACGAGTTGATTTTTAGAATATTTTATTCCATATATCGCATAAGTATAAATCTCTTAAACTACTGTAATGCTGGAACCATTCGAGACTCAAAGAGATCAACTTTGCTTTGATGTAGTTTATTTAAACTGCACAGCAAATCGATGGTTAGAAACAGACCAGCGGAAGGTACACGAATTTACTTTATTAAATTATTCAACAATTTTCTTATAACTTACTTAATAATAGTCGTCTAACATATACGATTTCTATGTACAAAAGTATTTACAATGTTCCTTAATTACGTCAACGTAATGCTACGCGATTGCGCAAACAAATACTAACAATGGTTCCTATCACGCTGAAACACGAAATTTTACGTAATACGCCAAGTATGATGCCATGACAATGATTTGTTACAATAAATTAAGATTCGATGTCGTCTCGATATTTTATTCCAATAGTAGATAACGAATAAGACGTTCAACAATTTCTAAATTTTATGAATTCAACGAATCATCGTTTATCATCCGTTACTCGAGTTTGTTATCAATGTCAAAAGCAACATCTTCGAAGCCCAGAATTTTGCTGTTACAAAAGACCGTAAAAAAACGTGCTCTCGCGCGACATAAACGAGTAATGCATCCGCTTCGTTTCAGGGGGCATTAGTTGATCATTTTTAACGAGCAAATTGCCACTTGACTATCCAGTGCTTTCCCAAAGGGCTTCGTGCCATCGGGGGCCATGTATTTGTTCACTTGGTAGGTTAGCATCGTTTCGTATCCGAACACGTCCATTCCAAGTTGCTGCGACACACGAAAAAAATAATACAATATTATAATAGGAAATAGGGACTTAGGGACGCTATTATCAGTTATAAATACGGTATACAGGGTGTCCGAAAAGTCGGGGAGGAGCCGGAAATGGGGGGTAGCTGAGACGATTCTGAACAACAATTTCCTTTGCAAAAATGTCGGATGGGGCTTCGATGGGGCCGCGGTAGCGAAGGCTACGCGCTAGGCGGCAGCGTCAATGTCCTTCGATGCACGTCGAGTCCGCTTGTTCGCGTACAAGCGCGGCCGCCTAGCGCGTAGCTTTCGCTACCGCGGCCGCTCCAACGGTCTACGCGCGCTCTGATTGGTCGGGGCCTTTCTCTTAATATCTCCTCAACGAAGCCCCATCCGACATTTTTGCAAAGGAAATTGTTGTTCAGAATCGTCTCAGCTACCCCCCATTTCCGGCTCCTCCCCGACTTTTCGGACATCCTGTATAATAAATCGAAGAACGAATTTTCCGACCAGTACCGTTAGCCACGTCATCTGGCGGGAATTTCAAAGGCTATTCCCAAGTTAGATTGCGTTAGCAGCGACATTGGTCGCGTTACTTAAAAACTTTACGGCGGACAATACAGGAACGGGATGCTCGAAGATGCCCGCCATAACACTAACAATAAGCAAAGCTGTAACGGTCGGATGGTGTTCCGCGAGTTATCTACTTTGCACGTTTTATCCGCGAAAAGGTCGACCTCTTCGAAAGAACGACCTCGTTAAAAGAGATACTGCGGCGCAAGATGGCGGTCTCTTGGAACTGCAGAATTAACCGAACATTGAGTTCCGTGCGATGCGAGAATTAAAACGATTTACAGTGATTACGTTTCGTGCTGCGCAATTAATGCATTTTTTTACGTAGTAGGCGTGAAACGTTAGGTACAGTTCAACATAAAAAAATCACCTGCGTAAGCGGGCTGGTGTTGGTGGTAAAGATCCCAGCGTACTCCTTCCTCTTGGCCAGTTGCAAACAGAACTCCTCCATCTCTCTCATCAGGATCACGTTTTCGGCCGCGTTCAAATCGTCACTGGTGGTCATCATGAAATTGTGGATGATCTGTCCTTTCCCTTTCGGTAGCTTTCGTTCTCGGATCGGTGCCTCCAGGTACTCCAGGAACTCGAAGACTATCGTCAACTTCGAGTCGAGTATCACCTCTGGTTCGTCCCACAGGTCGAAGTTCAGGCCCACGCCGATCGTTCTCCCATCCCGCGCCGATTTCACCACGAAGCTCAAGTTTTTCTCGACCAACGGTTCCCAGAGAAGATCCATCATCAATCGGTAGTCGTCCTTCGATATGTCCGGCATTAGTAATTGCTCCAAATCCGCTTTGTTGTAGAAGCTCTCCGTGATGATTCTGCGAAATGGTTCTTTGGATTACTGATCCATGGTTCGACTCCGCCAGTCGCATAAAAATTGTAACATGAATGACGATCACTTGATTGGCTATTCCTTCTTACTATTTTATGTACGATGATGTATGTTAGATGAAAGCTACGTCTGTATTTATGCATTCTGCGACATTTATTTGAATATATGTCGCAAAGAGAATTTAAAAAAACAATGTACCTTATCATTTCATCGCATTTCTCAACTTTCTGTTTTACGGAGTTAATCGATTGTTGCGATCAACAACCCAGTCTACGAACCCAGCTAACTCTACTCACTCGATCACGTCCTGCTTGTGGCTGTCGTTCAACATTTCGTAGCGATGCTCCTCCTCGTTCAGTTTCACCTCCTGCGACGTGTCTTCCGTGCTGATTCTCATTCGGTCGAGCACCTCCGCCATATTCTTCGCCGTGATGAATTCCGTGATTCCTATCTCGTAACCTTGATCCCTCAGCTTCGTTACCGTGTAGATCGAGTTCAACGAGTTCCCTCCCAGCTCGTAGAAATTTGCATCGAGCGTCACGTTCGCCCTTCCACCGCGACCTATCACAGACGCCACCGTGGGGAACAGGACCATCGCTTTTTTAAGGTCTTTCCCTGGCACGCTGGCGTAGTCGACATCCACGCAACTGTCTTCTTCTAAACAGACCATAGAACGCAAATACATTCTATTTCGAAATACATCGGACGGCGTGTACCACCGGTGGCACGCGCCTGCGTGCCCATCAGACGGCGTGTACCATCGCGCCGTCCCATGGCGAGAAATACGACGCGACTGTCCGTGGCGTCACTGTCAGTTATTTTCGGAAAATGTTAGAGAGAATTCAGTCCGAACGGATATCGTACCTCTGTTGATATCGGAGGATTCATACCGCTTCAACAGGGCCTGTCGATCCGTCTTTCCGTTTGTCAAAAGCGGTATGTTGTCCACGATGATAATTCGCGGCATCATGTAGAGGGGTATGGTAGCTTGCAGGAACGTCTCGATTTTCTCCGGACAGGTGGACCCGTTCGTAGTAGTAACGAACGCGATGAGTGTCTGAAAATTTCGGCGCGCGTTCATCGTTAAACGCGCCGCGCTACTTTCGTCTACAACTTATACAGGGTGTCCCGTGACTGGTGGTACGAGCGAGTAGGGGATGATTCTATGTGAAAAATTGAATCGAAAATGTAGAATAACATTTTTTCATACGGTCGCTTTATTTTTGAAAAACACAAGTTTTAAAATGAAGCGTCACGTGATAACAATTTTATTCTTACATTTTCGATTCAATTTTCCACCGTAGAATCACCCCTTACTCGCTTGTACCACCAGTCACGGAACGCCCTGTATATACTAAACTATTGTATTCGTACCTGAGATAATTCCCCTGGTTTGTAACAAAGAACGACCACCTCGTTGACGTCAGGTGCTTTGGAGACGGCTTTCTCCACTTCCGTGAGGTCCACCCGGTGTCCACGGACTTTTATCTGCGAGTCGACGCGTCCCTCGTAAATGACAACCCCTTTGGATATCCTGGCGTAGTCACCCGTTCGATAAATCTTCGAGTATTCTGTTCGAAGGGCAAATACTTCATGTTTTCAAAATTTTTTTTATACAGTTCTAAGGTTGCGGAACTTAAAACTACCCTGTATTACCTAATAGTTCTTACGTACGATATATGAATGATATAAAATTGTTTCGTTGTATTTTTACATTTGCACGACGTGAAATATTTTTGTATCTAATTTAAAATAATAATGACAAGTAACAATAGTAATAGCAACGCAAAAGAAACAACGAAGCAGACTTCGGCGAAGAACGTGTTCTTGTTTGCGCGAGTTCGAGCAAAGTAAACTATTTGCAATCATAATGAGCGTGGCTATATACATAGAAACGAAGAGAAACGAAGTACGTGATCGAACTTCATTGCTTAATCGTGCAAAGTACGAAATCGGGTTTTCGTTCGAGTCGCGAAGGAAAGGTAGACAGGTTTTCTCGTTAACGACCTTTCTCAAATGTCACCGAAGGATCGATTCTCACCTGGATCGATGGCGTGAGGATTGACCAGGAACTTGCGCGAATCGTTGTCGCGAATGTAACCCGCCGCGAGATTTCTCCCAGCCACTATCAGCTCGCCCACGTCCCCCTGCGGGACCAGTCGCATGTCTTTGTTCGCTATGTAGACGATGCAATTGTCCAATGGCTTTCCTGCGAATAGAGTCGGTTTAACGTTACGTTCGAGTGGACTTAACGGAATAGGCGAACTTTACGATCCCGTTTGTCTGCCGATCTCGAGCGTCGTCCGTGTAACAGCAAACGAGAGGATTGCTCGGATACCAAATAAACTTAAACGCTAACCACTTAGCAACCATCTTCGCCAACTACGTAGTACTCCGCCGAAGCTAACGCTATTGGGAGGTGAGAAGAAGATTAGCGGAAGGAACTCGGGTAGGATCGCTAACGGTGTTGTAGTAGCTTATTACAGGCCGGAATACAGTAAAGACTGGATAAGTGGAGGAAAATCGGGACCCAAAGATTGCATTTCTATTCTGTGTTTACATTTGGCTCGAGTCGAGCGTCGAACGTAGAGAAGGACAGAGAGCGAAAGAGAAAGAGCAAATGTTCCTGCGAATCTTCTTCTCGTCTCCCAGCGGTACATATCGCTGGGTTTACCTATGGGAACCTTCTCCGCCATTTGCAGCTGGTTTCGATTGGTCAGGAGGTGATAGGTGACGTCGCCCATGATCTCCGTGCTTCCGTAGAAATTGGCCAAAATCTTGTCGCCGTCGCGGAACGTGGCGAAGAATTGTTCAGCCAACGATACCGGCAACGTTTCCCCGGAACACACCCAAAGTTTCAACGAGCCGAGTACGTTGTTCTTGTCCTGAAACGTGGCATCACTGATGGTCAAAGATAGACAAATAGATAGATAGATAGGGATACGGTGGTGTAAACGGACGTTAAAGATTCTGTTATCTAGGACAATTGAGAGCGAACGCGTTCAATCAAAGCATCTAAATAAGGGATCCTCGTGATTCAAGCAATAGTCTTGAAACTCTCCTCGCGTTTGACTGGCTGCGAATCGTACCATTTGTTTAAATTCGCTTTTAGTAGCAATTAGCAAAATTCCATGGCAATGAACGAAATGGAAAGATGGAGGCCTTACACTGGCACACCGTGACTAGCACAGGTGTATATTTGGTTCAAGATGCCTGTAACAGGTGGTACAACACACTACTCACGCGCAGACTCAAGTACATGAGCATGGAGTGCAGTAAGGACGGCACCAACACCAGTCGTTGAATCTGTAACCGTGACGAAACCGGACGGTCGTATCAAACAAAATTGCGATCGATATTTATCAAATTTTTTGATCGCTGTATCAGCGCGAATGGCCAACCTTGTGCTTGTCCAGCTCGTGGACGAATCTCTCCGGGTTCTTCGTGGTGTGTTTGGGGATGACTACGAGAGTACGACCCTGCAGAAGCGGTCCCCAAATCTCGGAGACGCTATCGACGAAAGTCAGCGACGTTTTGAACACGCAATGGGTTTCGTTCGTCGCGTAGGGTAGCTCGCGCCATTGCCATCGCAGGCGGTTCAACACTGTCGCGTGAGGCAGCAGCACTCCTTCGAACAACGACAGACACAGCCAAGGGATTTTATTTTGTTTATTTCAAAGAGCTGGAACACTGTAGCGTTCGTGTTCCATCTTCGGAGATATAACATAATAAATTCAAGAATAACAGAAATGAGAAAAAGTATTTTAATTTCTGCGCTCACCTTTCGGAACGCCCGTGCTACCGGAAGTGTACAAAACAATGGCGAGTTGCTCAGGATCGCCTTGGAGCTCCAAATCATCCTTGCTCTCGTCTCGACTTCGATCCAAGAGTTGGTCGTAGGTGACCGTGATCGCGTTCTCGTAGATCGACGAATCCGCTGGAAGATTCGATTCGTATTTAACTTACGCCAACTCGTAGGCACAGATATCTGGGATTCGTTCAATTACGACGACCATTCGTCTCCGTATAGTGTTGAGGCCAATCGTGTTCGAGTTCGTTTCCTCTCCTATACAGGCTTAATTGGATAATTTCGATGCATCCATCGAAACGCACGATAACGCTAAAAACCGTAAATTTTACGAGAACAGCAGTGGTCAATTGGGCCTGTCGGCCTCGGAAAAAGCATTCAGGAAGTTGTTCCCGGCGAATGGCTCGTCGGAACGAGCGATTCGTTTGGTTCAACCTTAAATCGCGCCGCGATTTGCATAGGCCTCTCAAGGTCCTTCCATTTGCCGCGCGGAACCGTAAAGGTGAACCACTTTTCTGCGGTTCGCGAATCAAGCTGTATAAATCACTTCAATTCCTTCTCAGTGTCTTGATTTATCGACTCGAAGCGATAAGCTTGTAATTGTTTCATTCAAGAACGCGACGTTATTCGAATGTATTGGATAGAAGGGTTGGTCTTCGAGTGCATAGCGCTCTGATTTTCTGTGCTTATATAGGGAGCTTAAAGAACAATTCTTACGTAGCTGTAGGAATTTTCCTTAGTGTATTTTGGTCTCGAGCACAAGGAACTTGAGAAGGAAAACTGCGAGTGCTCATAGCCTCGAATTTTTCCATCTAAGTGTCCTCTGTATTTAGCACCCGGAGTGACCAAAGTATAGCGCCGAAAATTCAATAAAAAACAAGAGTCTTAAACTCTGCTACGAAATCAAGAAACTTGGGGAATAAAACTGAGAGCGCTCAAAGCCTTGAATTTTTCCATCCAAGTGTCCTCTGTATTTAGCACCCAGAGTGACCAAAGTATGGCCCTAAAAGCTCAGAAAGAAACAAAAGTCTTAAACTCTGCTAACGAGTCCAAGAAACTTGAGAAGTAAAACGAACAGTACTCAAAGCCTCGAAGCCTGTAACTTCTCAGATCCAAGGACCATCCATCAGTCCTCGAGCTGCAAGTCTACAACTTGCAAGACTTACAAACAACTACAGAAATTGGCCGGAGAAAGGACATGAAACGTTTCCATGAGTCGACTTGTCGGACAAGGCTATCAATTACCTTCCTCTTCTATCAGCACCATGAAAGGTCTCGCCTCCTGTAGAACGTGTTTCACTCGGGACATGGGGAACTCCGGGTCCAGGGGCAGGTACGCCATTCCCGCTTTAACTATGGCCAGCAGGATCACGGGCAACTGGTGAGACGGCTTCATGCAAACGGCTACCAGCGTTTGCGACGCGTTCTCTGGTTTCTCCCATTCCCGAAGACATCGAGCCATCGCGTTGGTCAGCTGGTTCAGCTGGTCGTAAGTAAACGTGTGCTCGTCGCCATTGTCGTCTGGTCGGAAACAAACGTCATTCTTCAGATTTACATCCACGCAAAAAGATTCGTTTAACTTGGAATCTCTTCGACATTATTCTACAGCGCGAGGATAGAAGACAACAGGCAAAAACCGAAAGACACAGAAACCGTATCGATATTAATAGAGTTCGCAACACGGGACGTTTAATCGACTCCTCCTCGTTCTTCTTGCGCCCCGTAATCACTCGCCTATTTTCTTCTTTGCATCTTGTTCACATTTTTCATCTCCCCATCCCCGCACCTGTAATAACACCAATGACACGTACCTTCGTAGTAGACCGCCAGCTGACTGGAATAATTTGCCGTTGTTTCTTTGAATAATTTATGAAGCAAATCCTTCTCCTTGATACCGTCGGTCTGCCGACCTTTTAAGACCGACTGCTGCAGTATGGTTCCCATCTGTGAATTGAAATTTTGATGTTCGATCAAATTCTCGTCGAAATGAAACGAAAGCGCCAGGTACGAAAAGAAATTACAGACGCCGGAATAACCAGAGCACCGGTGATTATTATGTCGATTGACACGTCAGTCAACGCGTCAATCAACGTTAATTAATCGACTCGATTTAATTGACAGCGTCGACCTACATTCCGCGATCTACGCGCCGCGCTTCAAATACCAAACGACAAATCAAACGCGCGACTAATTGTCAACGGCGAACAACTTTGGACCCCACACGAATAGGTCTGGCTGCAATGGATCTGGATGTTATCTGGCAGGTGTGCTCGTGAAAGTGAGTCGGTCGCCGGTTTCGTAATAAAGCGTGTAGACAATGTAATCGTTTGGCAGACGATACCGGTGGCGTTGTATCCTTCGATTCGCGGAAAAGAAAGTCAATTCCAGGCAAGAACGTTGGGGAAGATCGTAGCAGCCGTGGCTGACTAGAAATCAGAAAGGTGAAAAAAAAAAAAAAACCGTTGGGGAAGATCGATCTTTGCGATCGGGTTCGATCGATTTAAATCGAAAGATACACGCGACTGCTCTCACTCAGCGACCTCGTCGATATTCTCCTTCCAAATCAGGAGAAACCTGAGTATTTAACCCTACAGTGCGCAATTTTTCGAATCAGACCAAACACGAATAACGCTACCGTGAAAATTCTAACGACACCCGTCAAATTCGGCGGAAAAATAATTATCTTCGATCGTGACCTTTCCGTTAGGAACAGCGCATGTGTTATCGCTTACGTCGTTGCGTAATCAAATATCAAAGAAAAATGCGGTTGATGCATACGTGCATCGATGCGCACTGTAGGGTTAACAAATGGGGATACTTAGCGAGTCCAAATTGCCGCCGAGTACTTCTAAACGGTCTTTCGGATAAAATCTAACGTATGTTTTCATCCCTAACTCATGGAAGAGATAAATCGTTCTTAATATATTCAAAGCACTGAATTATTTTATGATTAAACGACGAAGGCACCGGAAGATCTGTATCTAGAAGACGAACGGTCTAGAAGGCTTGTAATTTTCTCGCGTGGAATCATCCAGGTTGAATCTCTTAATCTTCATTTTCACCCGACAGGACAAGCGAGTTCTAGATAGAGCCGTTTAGACGCACTCTCCTGTAATCTTCGTCTATGACAGGCGAATGAAGATATTACAAGATCGCATCTAGAATAGACAAGATCTGAAAGACTCGACACACCGCATGTTCTAGGTGCGATCTTCCATCAACGTCGAGTACGAAAGTCGGTCCATACGGAACATTAGATTCGGCACGTCTGAAATTTAGATGCGGCGAATTTTAAATTTAGATTCGCTTGACCCTACGTTAAAATTTATGGAATATTTCCGGGCCAACTGAATTCGATTCAACTTCCTGTCGTTCTTGAGGCAGACATGGACTAATAACGACATTCCTAGAAATTCGAAACTTCCGAAGTCAGATAATGGAGAAACTTGGACTCCTGTGCTGAATGAGCATCATACTGTCTTTTACGATTAGAGTACTACGGTACTGTCTCGAAATAACCGACTGTTTTCCGCCTCGAAAAAAACCAACTCGCGATCCCTGCCTTTTTGCTCCGAGTCGCGAAAGCGAGAAGCCGAGAAGATCGGTGGAAAAATCGCAGAACGTGTGTAAAGAATACCGTTAGTTGTATATGTTTTAGTACTACACCGAACCCTCTATTATTGTCTACGGGTTCCTCCCGAGGGTTCCCTTTCGTCTCGCTCGAGAACAAAGCCGAACCGGCACGTAATAAATGCGTTCGCGATTTCAACCGATTTCTGTTTTTCCTGGAATATCCAATCGATCTTTCCGACATCTAAAGCTACTTTAACATCTGTAAACGGTTGTCGATTGGAATTCCAATTACGTCGTAATTGATTTATTATCGTTATTGCTGTAATTACAGTAATCGCAAGAATCATGATCACCGCGTAAAGACGGCGTTCGGAGCGTTTCACTACCGCGGACTAACGAACAATCAAATTTATATTGCTTAAGAACCGACGTTAATTAAGCGCTTCTCGCTGGATTCAACGAGTACTCGCCTTTCGAGGCTCGGATCATTTTTACTTTCCCACGTCGCGCCATTTTTCTTGCAATTTTCTATCATTTTTTTCGTATACAATTACGAATGCTTCCGTCACGGAACCTTTTCTTCCGTAATTCCATTGTTTCTTCATTTTTAAATTACTTTATCTTAACATCGAGTCTCTTCTCTCGACAATTTTCTCTCATTTTTCCTGCATTTTTCTTTCAATTGTTTTAAATCAACCTGCATATTCCCGCTTCTCTGTGTCGCATCACCCCGCATCGCTCGTCGTCTGAATTTTGTCTCCAGAATTTGTCTCATCTTTCTCGAAATGTCGTCGACGTATCCGAGCCAGTCGATCGTTATTTTCTACCGAAAGGTAACGAAACGCCGACGTCGTCGTAGCTTCCAGCGAAAGTTCAGCCTCGTTTATTAACAATAGAGGAATAATATCGTAGGAAACCGTCTGTTACAGCACACCTTTCGATTGGATACGGGCTCGCAGGGCCACAAATTGTGAAACGTACAAATGCGCCTTGGCGTTTACATAACCCAATCTACGCTATGCAGTCGTTAGAAAGAAACGAAAAGTTGTGGCGTTTCGCTCGATGAAAGTATTCGACGGCTCCATTGCGCTCGTGCGTTCTTTCGAAAGCCGAATCACGTAATTCGTTCGACGTGTAACGACACAATTTTGATCTTATCGTTGTATGTCTCGTGGCAATTATTTGAAAATTTATAGGCTCGAGTCAATTAATCGAAAGAAAACCTCGATATTTATCCTCGTAACTCGATCGACGAAGTTTGCTGTAAAACCTTACCGATACACTTTTTTTTATTCGTCCCTTATTATCACCCCCTTCGAGGTGCAATTATTTGTTACGATCCAATATCGTACGACATCAACGTTTTCAATTTTGCACGTTGAGATCAAGTTTACGTCGATTATTAAAATTACGATTATTAAGAATTTCGCGAGGAATCTTATTTTTCCGTGATTTTGTTTCGGTGGCCGTGATTCGTCCGATTGAAGCAACCTAATCCCTTGGTAGACATCGTTGATGTCCACGTGAAATCGAATCTTTATTATCACGATTATTAACTCGACGTTGAATATACTTTATCTCGTATCGAACACAGCAAGGGGATATTTATTTGGTAATGAAACAGCAATGTTTCTCCATCTCCTATGAACTTTCAACCATTTTCTATCGATGTTTCGACGCGATTAGTAGGATCTCTATATGGATATTTATAGACGCGATTGACACCGTTTATGTAGACTTATTATTCCCAATAGATTACCAAGATACGTTTATCCACATTTTTATTTCAATATTCAACGGCTTTTTATTCGATCGCTTTTTATCGTTGAAACTGTAAAATCCGCGTGAACGTTAAATAGTATAACCGGAATAGCGATACTAGAAAATATGTGGAATAACTAAACGGCGAGTTTACTGGTCGTTCGTCGCAGGAAATAAAATTTCACCAGTCCCTCTGCCCGTCGCGAAACTTTACGCGATGCTATCGCGGACATGACGCGGGTAAGAGCACTCTGAACAGCGCGAACGTTTATTACGAGTTTCGCGAAAATCCTGACAGGCAAACTTCTCGAAAAGCAGAGAGAGAAGTTTTCCTGATCGAACGAACGGTCACCTACTGCAAACGGAAAGTCCCCCGCGGAGAGTTCTGGTTCTATTCGACTTTTAGTCAGAAATCCACGGATGCCAGTGAATGTTTTAGAATACTTTAGAGTGTTTTTCCGAATACAAATACAATCGAATACAAACAAGCTTCAATTTTCAAAAAAAAAAAAAAAAAAAAAATATAAAAAAATTACGTGCGAGTATACTTTTAATCCTACTCATTCCTTGGTTCGAATTCACCTCGCACAGGCCGCGAACTCGTAAATAGATCGAACCGAGGCATTAGTTTTTATCAGTATTTGAATCTCTCTGGAGAGCCTTGATTCCGACTCGCAAGGTTCTCTGTTCAACGTTTGCGTAGGAAACCACGTCGCAAAAGAAAAAAAAAACGTAAAATTTTCATTCGTCCTTATACTGTAGTTTGCCTTCGAAGAGAATCAGACGCGGTGCTCGTTTACGTGCGTTTCCATTCCTTCGTAATCGAGTTAGGACGAGCACTCATTCATTTTCTCCAATCGTCATACTTTGATCCCTTCGCGTACGTGGCCGTTTAGTTTTGTATAATTATAATTACTGTCGATAATAAAAAGAACGAACAAATTTGATAATTATTCACTACGGGATCCCGCAACAAGAGAAGTGAAAATTGTATAGTTCGGCTGCACCGATAACGTTACTTCCAATGTACAGCTAGAGACACAGCGAACGTAACAAGTACTCGTACAGGAATCAATTGAAACTAAAACTTCGTATACTTATTCTATTAATAAATTTTCGGGGAAGAAATAATTAACGAACGTTCCTACATATCTTTAGAGTAGAATTTGCGTAAATTAAAGTTCATTATTTTTAGCGTTAACCTCTAATTTCTTTACTTATTAATTTCACTTTAAATTGCTCGCTGTGCGAATGTGCTAACATGCTCGGTCTTTTTTCAACAAATACATTCCGTTTTTATCAACGAGGACAACGTTTTTCCCGTTTAACTCGTATGCTTCCATAAATATCGATCCCGTCACCGGTAAATATCGATCGTCGCACGTCACTAGAAAGTCCAAAACCGTTCTCACCGCCTAATTCTACCTTCGCTCACCTTGGAATGTTTATCTCACTGCTCCAAAGTTGCCTGTCCTCTTCGGGATCCCAGCGAATACCCAAGGCGTGTACCTTTCCCAGGAACCTTCACGGGAACGAACAGGTCCACGTATTTCGTCCGAATGTTCACAGTCGCACGTCGATTCTCACTCTATCGCCGCGCGTTTTCAGCGAACACACTGTACTGGCTCCGCTGATTCTTTTCCGGTGGTTCTTCCCCCTGTTCCCGTTCCCTTTCGTCGCACAACGCACTTTCCTTTTGGCCAGAACCGCAGCAGGCTACGATTCACACGAAGTGAACACCTCGGAGACCTGTCTCCTAATCCTTCGATTTTCCACTGGCAGTTCTGGGACTCGTTGATGTTTGCCTGATGCCTCGACCCTTCGATTCGAGAGATTTTCAAATCCTTGAATTTTCCGACCGATCGGCGATCCGATTTAATCTTATCCTAGTATTTTTTCGTTTAATCTCGGTTTGGTAACGGTACGCGTGTAAACGTGTAGATCGTTCGCGACGAAGGACGCGAACAGCGCGGGTTCCTGGGCACGCGATACGATGACCTTACGGTTTAGTTATCACCGGCCGGATTGCTCGGTGAGAATGTCTCTCCTCCCGTCCGTGTGGCATGTGCTTTTATATGGAACCGGTTACGAGGACCCTGAATTGTTCGTTGTCCCCTATCCTGCCACCACTATCTCCGCATCTTTTGTCCCGGTGTTGCTGCACCGGCTGGCCCCTTCGACGTCGTCCAATTTGCATCGCACCGTACGCTGCTTCCTCCGTGTTTACCTCGGTCGAGTGGTCGAAGCGGTTTCTCGTTTTAACACGAACCCGACGTGTACGAACTTTAATTCTCGCGAGTTTTAGTCCGCCATTCGACGCGATAACGTAGCAACGTTCTGTACAACAATTTTATTTTTCATTCGAACTGAAACACGGACAACGAGGTTTCAGAAAGTCTGCTGTAATTCTTGCCCGTATGACAGATTTTTGACGCGAGAAACGCGCGGACCAATTTATAGGCTCGACTCGATACATCGATGAGCAAAGTGGTTTTGAAATGGCCAGGTCACCGACGGGATCTCTCGCGTTCGATCGAAAAGGACGAGCCAATTATTATCCCACCCGGGTCCTCCGAATTCGATAGCCGTGATAACATCCTTGAATTATGTTTAATTACGAGTCCATCTCCTCCTTCTCCTCCTCCTTCTCCTCCTCCTCCTCCTCCTCCTCCTCCGACTCCCTCCCCTCCAGTCGCGTAATTTCAGAGCGGGGTAAATGGATGTCGGAACAACCTTCGGGAAACCAATGAATTGTAAAATTATTTCGCTTTACCGTTCCATTAAGCTTCCACCGCGTCTACTTAACGTTCTATTAGAAAATGATCGCTCGTCCGACGGTTGGATATCACTTTGTTACGGTAAATCGCGACTCCGACGGACCCCGAGGGGATCCAAGGAGATTTATTATAATAAATATCGCCACTTGCGTAACCTCAAGGCAACGCTGTGCATCCTGACAACATCGGTAACGTTCTCCATCCATTGTCCATTATAGTGATTCGTTATTTCATTATTCGACCAGGTAGCAACTTTCACGAGAAATCCTGCGAATCGCGCGAACGCGTATTTGACCCTCCGAGTGCCAGAAGAAATTTTCACGCGTGTCCGAGAAATGCCAGGCAATTTTTTACGTAAAGATTTTCGCGTCTTGCTGAAACCCGAACACGCTTTTGCAAAATTGTTGTCCGTCATTTAAAAAATTTGTTCGGGTAACAGAAAGCTCCGATATCCCTGAATAACACAGGCTATGTTTTATTTCGATGAAAATAGGTTTTCAATTTAAAATCCAAAAATTTGTAAATCGAGCGGGAAGAAAAGCGTTGTTTGGCTACTTTTCTTCTTCAGCCGGTTAGTATTTAAACAGAGTCGTTGAGAAAAGATCAAAGTCTGCTCGTGACAATTTAGCGAATAAACCTAAAGTTCATCTATAAATTCAGTATTTAATTATTCACTTATACCCCATTTCCAATAGCTCGTGCTCTATTCCACAATTTAATCAGCGTATCCCAAACACGCGACACACACTCCGCAAACTTTTCTACGCGCAGTTATTTTCCTTGTTAATAAACTGTTCAGCTCGTTATACGCGTTTCTCGTTGTTCCCGCGACAAAATTATTAAATTACCTTTCGTGTCGTTATTCGGAGAGGACGCGAAGCCGTTGTTGCACGGTTGCAAAAAACGTAACAGCAAATATTTATCACGGTAACACGAGAGTCGACGTTTCAACCAGCGAGCGTATTAAATTCGTAATCGGGAATGCGAAGTAATATTCGCCGTAACAAAAATTACCGACAAAGAAAAACTCGCTTCTTCTTTTAAATTAGATACCTATAGAGGTAATTATTTAAAGATGTGCCTAACGGCAGACAATGTTGCGAACGCTTAATCGTTTCGATTTAGGTTAATTAGAACGTAATACTCGGTTCGAGCGTAGTCCTCTTGAAAGCAACATCGCAGCTCCTAACTCTCTGGTCGAAGTAAAGAGTGTCTTAGAAAAGGGAATAACCGAGTGACAATTATTTTCTAACATCGATAACCAGTAATTCGTTTCACCAGATCAACTAAGAATCGTGCAACTTTGTTCTGCACAGATACACTTACGCGATCCGTCAGTCTCTGTTTTTCATTTTTAATCGCGTGTTCACCTAACTGGAAACGCGCGCGTCGATCGACTTATTCACTTGGAAGTTCCAGATTCAGCGGGGCATCACCCTTTTTACTGCTTTCACGCCTGGCTGGATCGCGTGATCGCGCGGCGGTGCAATCTAATTGCACCGTCGCTCTTCGCGCCTCGTTTTTTAATTTCCTACTCGCGCGGTAATGACAGAGCGTGAATGGACAAGCAGGGAAACCGTGACGCTCGGATACGCGTACGACGCTCTGGTTGTCGCCTCGTTCGGGGAAATTCCGTTCGCGACATTTCTTCCGGGAATTGTTCGCGAACGAAACTTCGAACTCGGGAACTTCGCTGGAGCCAGAAACTGTGTCTATGGATCGCTCGAGCCAGAGTTTCTTGTGAATCGTTCGCGCGAAGAGAAAATCCGCAAATCAACGCGGAGTTCGTTTAACGCGTTGGCTGCCAAGCTAAAAACTCGCCAACATTTCTAATAAGATTTCTATAAAGTTAAAATATTGTCTCGAGACTGTCGACGATTAGATAATTTAACATCTGTCGTAGTTTAGTTTCGTTATTGTCCCGTTATTGAAATTAATTTTTTTAGTTCCTTGGTGGAAAGTCCTGTCGGCCATTTCTGGGTGACGTGACGACCAACGTGTTAAAATTTCGTAAGCTTCACTTGTTGTACGTACCGTATTGTCTCGAAATAAGCAACTCGTCGTTCCCGCCTTTTTGCTCGAAGTCGTCCGCCCGAGTTAGAGATTCGAAAAGAAGCGAGAGATCCGTGAAAGCGAGAAGCCGAGCAGATTAGTGGAAAAAGCACAGCACGTGTGTAATGTTTTCGCTTTCTCCGGTGTGTTTATTTTCCGAAAGAATACCGTTAGTTGTACATACACAGTTTGCCGCTACACCGAACTCCCTGTTTTGTCTACGGGTTGTGTCTACGCTCGAGAACAAGGTGAAGCCGAACAGAGCATACGAATCGATCGATACATTCGATACCGAAGCGGCAGGTAATAAATGCGCTCAAGATTTCAACCGATTTCTGTTATTCCGGCACCGGCACCGCGCCAGAACGTGTAAACTAACGAAATATCGTTCGTCGGATTCTCTCTTCCTGGCTGGTCCGCGCCGCGCGCCGAGGCGTCCGAAGCACGCTTCGGCATTCCAGGAACTCTCAATCATTCGCTGAAACACCAACGTCGGGTTTTCTTCCGTCAGAAGTTTGCTTTATGGGCTCGATCTCGCGGCGAGGTGTTTCAGAACGTGTCGCGGCTTCGGAACGGAATAAATCGTACGATCGACGAATTCCTTTCCGGCAGACGGTCTCGTTACGTATTGAAACTCGAGCCGCGGAGAATTTCACGGTGGAAGATACGCGGACGATTCAGGGATCGGAATTATTCAGCCGAATACCACTTACGAGCGGCATGCGCCTTCCTGATGGATGACTGCTTTAAGAATTGAAACGCTAGTTCGAAGCGCGAAACGGATCGCTTGAAAATCCTGGTAGCTTCGGATTCGAGGACACGGTGGGTGGAGTCGGCGTTGCGCGGCGATTATGCTACGAATTTCTAAAACGGGAATGGAGGAACGATTGCGAAGAGAAATATGCAAATCTCGACGCGATGCTCCGAGGTGCAACGCAACGAATCTCGCGAACGATCTCAAGTTTGTACGCGGATTCAAGGCCAACGATCGATGGTGATCGCGATCAATCTCGGTTCGATTCGGAGTCTGCGGCGTAATTAACCTCTTCGTGCGATTCCATGGAAATTAAACCATGGGTAAAATTCTCATCTATTTATATTGTAGACGATTCAAGAAACGCCCCATTTTTGTAATCGTTTCCACGAACATCGATTTAGCAACTCTTCTTGGCAACGCCATTTTTTTTTTCTCTTTCCTACACTGTAGGTAGACGTTTCAGTAATTAACCGACACGCCACGGACAAGCTCGAGCCGTCTTACCTGCGTCTTACCTACGCAATCATCGTCGTCCTCACAATTATCATCGCGCATCGACAATCGACATTATGATTGACGTGTCACGCGAATCGAGTCCCGGTCTCCGTGCGTGTTCCCACGCGAAGGTCAACGCGCTAAAAGGAAACTCGAGAAAAATTCGAGACTTTTCAACGCGTTTCTGGGAAGTAGCCGACGACGTCTTTGTCGCGTCGGTTTGTTCGTTTCAAGCGAGATTCCGTCACGAGGTGTTGCATTTAACGTATTTGCATGTCGCGTTGCGTAGGCTAATAATTACACGTGATAACCGATCGTTTTCTTATCCGACGAGAAATCTGTTCCTTGGTAGCATTTTAAATCTGTTCGATTTTATGAATATTCACAATGCCGTCCTTGTTGCGTTCGGTGCGCGACTTTTTCGCGATCGTAACACTCGGCGTGGGATAATATTCTTGTGCGAATCAGGAGAACCGAGTTGTCGCGTCCCTAATTTAACACCTTAATCTATATTTACGACAGCTTGGACCCAAAACGTAAACAATGACTGTGTCTATCACTGTCCGCGTGGCTTCGTCGTTTTGCAAATGCGCCAGAAGAAATATCAGTCGCCAATACTGCGAATGCTGTATCATTTGTGGTTACAACGGTTCATCTACAGGGTGTCTCAAAAGTCGGGGAGGAGCCGGAAATGGGGGGTAGCTGAGACGATTCTGAACAACAATTTCCTTTGCAAAAATGTCGGATGGGGCTTCGTTAAGGAGATATTAAGAGAAAACCCCGACCAATCAGAGCGCGCGTAGACCGTTGGAGCGCTCGCGGTAGCGAAGGCTACGCGCTGGCGGCCGCGCTTGTACGCGAACAAGTGACTCGACGTGCATCGAAGGACATTGACGCTGCCGCCTAGCGCGTAGCCATCGCTACCGCGACCGCTCGAACGATCTACGCGCGCTCTGATTGGTCGGGATTTTCTCTTAATATCTCCTCAACGAAGCCCCATCCGACATTTTTGCAAAGGAAATTGTCGTTCAGAATCGTCTCAGCTACCCTCCATTTCCGGCTCCTCCCCGACTTTTCGGACACCCTGTATATCGAAACGAATTCGTTATCAACGAATTCTGCCTTTAATTCTGCCTTCCGCGTCGCAAATGGTTCGCAAGTTTCATTTTGTTTAGTAAGAACGTAACTGCCGTGCTTGTTTAGCGCGTGCCGCGTCCAACGTGTTTATTATCGTGATTCCCCTTATCGAGAGAGGCGTGAATTCGTTTTTACTCGGTGCACGAAGAAAGTGGAAATCCCCGAGCGCCTCGTTCCAAGTTTTCCTGTTACGGTCGAAGAATGTATTCTCCGTTTACGTCACGAGTCACTCACGGGCTCTAGAATTTCAGCGATCCGTTGCCCGGCCACGCAAATGTACGAGCAAGACGTCAGTGGATCCGCGAAGCCACCGGGAATTCCAACGGCGATCGACCAAGAATTTCAGTTAAAAAATCAGAAATTGTGAGCTCGTAAAATTTACGCGCGAACCGCGATATGATTTTTAATTAAAATTCGCGTTGTTCCAAATTCAACCTCAATTCAATCTCGAATGGAAATTCGTATTATCCGGAACTCCATCGTTTCGTGATTTTCCATTATTTCTGATTAAAAATCACTCGTTTCGAAGATGCTGCCTCCAGTATCGTTCTTCCACGAAACGATTACGTCGGGACACCGGAACACGGTGCCACGCGTAATGCGTTTTTAATCGCGTGTTTCGACATGAAATCTCATTAAAGAAGACCGTACTCGCAAATCTCACGTGTCTTTATCATCGGGGTTCATTCTGTGCATCTCTGTCGGCATTAAAAGGTGACGTCCCCTCCAGGATACCTCCGGCTGTGTTGTCGCGATCGTCGTCGGCCGAGTATTTTGCGTGTTACATAACCACGATTGAACGTCTGATTGGGTCAAGTGGTGAGAACAATAGCCGGCGTCTGTCCGTCTCTCCTCGCTGGGCATAACCCTATTTTACAATCTTAATTCATCACATCCGCGGCAACTTTACCCCGCCGCTTTTACTGCGCGACGCGCTTCCTCGTTGCCGGAAGCGTCGCTTTGACGTCTCGTTTCGCGACCCGATAATCTCGAAATTGAAAAGAAACCCCCAAGGTCGTTCCTTGTAAACCGCGTCGCCCCGTGTCCGTTCGACGAGAACATCGGATACCGTTGCTATACTATTATTCGTGTGATTCTCGCATCCTTGCGAGCGCGACTGTATTTCTTTTCTCTCTCTCTCTCTCTCTCTCTCTCTCTCTCTCTCTCTCTCTCTCTCTCTCTCTCTCTCT